TAATCTCGAGAAGCATGCAAGAAACGTGTGCTTGGAGGGAAGAAAGCGTAAGACGATCAACTCAAGCTTGAATTGGTGTTTGGACAGAGGTAGAACACTCATTCTCAGCACGTGGAGTGCGGTCGAAAAAAAAAATCCAACGGAACCCGGTGCCAACGACATCATTCTTTAATCGACAGTGGTGCTACCTTTGACTCGAGGGGAGGTGTTGGAATGCCATCTACATTTGAGAGTAGGAGTTTCGGTTGGCAGAATTGTAGTCGAAGTTAGTGAATATTTTGTGATGTGTGTTTAATTGTTTATGTGGCAATGTATAGTGCGCTTTTATTCTGATTGTGTTTCCTTTGAATGCACAGAATTAATGAAAGAAGCGGAAAAATTTTGAAAGGAGGCCAAAATAAGTACGCATGAACTATTCAACAATGTAAACAGTAAAAAAAAATTGGTCGAAGATTACTTCGACAGAACTTCCCTCGTCCATCAAGTACAGCTTGTCGAAAAAAATTAAAAGATTTGATTTTGCGAATTTTATTGTTTTTATGGCAACCATTATAATCTAAAATAAAAATATGTATTCTAACGTTTGAGGAAAGGTAAAGAGACGTACTAACCGTTTGTTACAAGTGACTTTTTGTATTACAAAATTTTATGTTGATGTCATCCACATTTTTGCAAGCACGCATATATCAGTTTGGATAGGTGCATTGTAATACTAATAATAAAAGTACTGTAATATTGTTATTTTCACGTCTGCCGTATGTAATAACAGAGGTGCGACTGAAGACTGAATTGAAAATCATTTATGGTACTCGTAATTTAGGACAAATAGCGATAACACTTATCAACCTGTAGACGTGAGAGTGAAACAAAAACTAAACTAAAAGATGTTTTCTACGAATTGCAATAACCGGATTACAATGCCGACGGGCCAGACTTTTTTATTGCTATGACTTCGGCTCATTAAATAAGACACTACATTTTATTTTGATTTTCGATGTTGTAATTCACATTTGGTTAATAATAACTTGTCTAGATCTAGAGGAGGCTCAGCATCCTCTAGCCTTCCCCTAGCTACGGCCTTGTCTAGGGGTTATGAAATATCGACAAAATACGAAAGTACCGAATTGCCCGATGGACTCCATTACTGTACGTCCTTAGGTTATCCTCGATAAGAAAAACAATTTGAAATTGTTTTTCTTTATACATCGGAAGAATGTCACGTAGAAATTAGTTTGATTTGAATGAGTTCGTCCCCTCAAAACAGGGGATCAAAACTATTAAGTAGTAAGCTACAATCGACAAAATGTTCTGAATATCATTATTATAATTCTTATTAAATAAAGACGTTCGTATTTTCACTTTTTCGGGAAAATGGGGTGTCTCGTTCTTAATTTGATGAATAAAAAATATGAATGCAATGATGAATCACAAGTAAAAACTCATCGTATGTATTTTGCACACTTTGGGTAGAATTAATTTGGCAAAATTTTGAGATAACGTCATCAATTTTTTTGGGGCGAATAATAATTTATTTTAATTAACAATTCACCATGTCTACAATGACCTTAATCATAAGTATAAGAAACTCTAAAATGTGAATGCAATTATAAATTACAAGTATATAGGTACTGATCATATTTTGCACATTTGAGATAGGATTTATTCGGCAAAATTTTGAGATGACATAATCAATTTTTTGGGGTTGATCAACAGATACACTTTGATTAAAAAGTTACCATGCTTACAATAACTTCAAAACATCTGCAAGATTTCAAAGCATTCCGTTTTATAGATTCAAAATTATATTGCAAAATATTGTTTTAAAATTTTGATTGTTTTTCCAAAAATCTGGACGTTTTGGGTAAAAACTCAACACGCAGTCATAAACTACATGTGTAGAACTATGTTATTTTATACAATTTAAAACCCATTTATTAGGTACAATTTTGAAGTGACGTCATCACATTATTGGTGGGGAGGATTAGACCAATTTTGGTTAGGGTTTTACCATATACATGATATTACTAATAGAAATACAAAATTTGATAACAATTGCACCAGTACTTTCGGAAATTATCTGTCTAATAAGAATCTCTGACGGCAGACAGACAGACAGACGGACAGACAGACGGACGGACAGACAGACACACGGAAAAGGGCGACGTATGTCTTCGTACTTTAGGGGTCATGAAAGGTCGAGAAGACGTAAAAGTAGAGAGTCGGGCGATGGACTTGATTACAAAAGCAATGATTTAATAAAGCTACGAACTACGAAAGAAGACAGATAATGATCACGATTACTACATCAGATTTAGGGCCGGTTGCATAAACGCAAATCAAATTTAATCTCTGATTAAGAACAATTGTAACTATGATAATAACAATCGTTACTATGGAGTTAATCAGCGATTAAATTTGATTTGCGTTTATGCAACCGGCCCTTAGTTTGTTGATTAAGAAAATGGGTGTTAAAGTAAAAGGGACAAAAATCTGATCAAAGATCGAAAACTGTATTCAATTACATACTTATACCAAGAAAAAAGCTGCGAATGTATTTTTTTTCCAATTAAACAACACGAACAAATGTTGAACAACAGGTAAACAAGGACACCATAAAATATTATATTCCAAGGAGAGGTGACCAACACGAGGGCAAGCCGAGTGTACTGTAAAAACGATAGGCTTGAGAAAATCCTAGTGATGGAAAGCTCGAGAAAAGGAAGCCTTGAGACATGAAACTATTTTAAATAAGGTTTAAGGTATTATTAGTCCTAAGGACCGGTTGTGCAGGGTTTTTATAAATGATTTTAAGGGCGTAGTTGGCCGTGGATTTCAAAAATTCCGCTTTTCTAAAATTATGCCTCATTGTTACAGTTGTCACTGCACATTCGTAAACGGAGAATGAGTGTATTCTGTAACCGCTTGTAAGCAAGAATATCTGATTTATAAATTCAAGAAACATCGTTAGGGGTTCATATTAGAGATTTGTTCGAAGTGACAATGTCAACAAAAGGAAATCTCTTGGAAGATCATCAAAATCTGAGGAAGTTATTAATGATTTGAGATAACTTGAGTAGAATCCGCAAACATCTTTGACCTGATTATCTCAGCAGTCAGGAGTTCTTGTTGCAACATGAAATTGAACAGGGGTCCAAAGAATTTACGAAAGGATGTTAGAAACCATTTTTGAAATTAAAAAGACAGTGAACATGTGCCTTGAACAAAATGGTCAAGAGTTTCAATTTGCTGTGATATTTAACCACAATAAATTTGTTTGTTTTTATGGTAATAAATTAGTTTTATTTTTTAACAACATATGAAGTATTTAGGTAACCAGTTATACAGATGCGTGGCATTTAGTAAAGTCCACATAAAGTGATAGGCGGCACGCTTCCATGACATAATTAGACCCTATAATGATTTATAGAAACCCTGTACAAAAGCATGTCAAGTTGCATGTCTCCTAACACCCTGCCAACTTAAGCTAAGCTTAACTTTGGATTAAATGTGACATCGTTGTATAAACTATTTGCGGACGTCAGTTAACTAATAAACTTTTGACAACTAGTTAACATTGGATCACGTTCGAATACTAGTTTCATCGTTTATAAATTGATGTTGGTACGAGTTCCCGCGTTGTTGACATTTTCTCTGAGGCAAGTTCAATTTATGAATTCGTTGTGACTTGTATTGTGTGGTGTGATAGCTTTTGGTAGGTAAAATACAAGATAAAACAAAACGAACTCCGAATTTATTTTTCTGTTAAGGCAGAACCTCACCCACGCAGAAGATGTCAGAAGTAACGTAAAACGCCGTTCCCGTTTGTAGATTCATATGAGCATTTGAAGGAATGGACGCTATGTTATTTTTCGCAACTGGGTTGTAGTTTTTCATAAAAAAAAAATGTTATCGTATCTTAGCTCAGCCGATATAAAAATTCGTAACGATGAAGTTTTATCTTTTGAAACATACATATTAGTAAATTTTGTAATTCGCATCACAACGCCGGCTTTATCTGATCTCGTGCTTATTATTGTTAATCGTACAGGAGTTGTTGTGTTGTGTTCTAATTTTGGTTCCGGTCTGTTAAATCACTACTTTTAGCTTGTGAATTGCAGGTTGCCGCAAGAATTAATCGCCTTAAACACTTATCTGACCCTTATAGAAAGTTACAGGTCGATTAACTCCAACATCATTAACTTATTCAAACTTTTATTCAGTCCCTGTATCCCAGGTTATTTTTACCACTTTTTATAGTACTCGAAATTACGTTTTCGCGAAACTAAACCAAACAACGCAAAGTTTTTTAATGAAAAGCACAGAAGTTTAGAAAAAATTACGCATTGCCGCATCAGGTATTAACAAATTTGTTACAATAAATATTGCATACAATATTCTGGAAACTTCGATGACAGTTCTTCTGACTGAGAGTCGCACTCTCAAATGTAGATGCCGTTCCAACCTTCCCTTCGAGTCAAAGGTCGCGCATCTTTCCCCTGACGAATTTTCGATCGCGAGATTTAAGGTTTTCTTTATTAATCACAAGCGTATCATTCGTTTAGTTTTCAGTTTTCTGTACAACGAATCGCAGGTCAGGTCAGGTCAGGTCATAAAAAATTTGTTCACGAATAAGCTTAATTTTACTTCAAAATTAAGTAAGCAAATTTCAGTATGTAACAGTGTCGTTTAATTAGGTTAGTTGGTGATTAAACGATAATGCTGTTGCCAATATAACACAGAATAACCAAAATGTTGAACTAAAAGCAGTACATTTCTCCAGAAGAATTAGTTTTCAAATCCTGCGTTCTAGACCAAACCCTACTCACTCGCCTCAAGAATGTTGTATTCAGCGTTTGCAGGACCGTAAGAAATTGTACCTTCTGACTGAGACAACGCTATTTATCGTTAATCAGATGAGGAACCGTGTAGTTGACACAAGACTAAGATAATTGCAACACTGTTTAATTATCGTGCGTTTGATGCGATTATTCGCCACTTACAATCTGAACTTCTCGTTCCATTTGGGGTTGAGCGTGTGGGGTTTGACGGAAGTGGCTCTTATGAACTTGGCTGGCAGTGCACCGACGATGCTGTCCCGTTGTTCTCTAACTCGTCCGTCTTTTCGTTTGAAGCTCAACTTGAAGCTGTGGTGTTTCCGCAACTTCTCATGATTGCCCTGAATGTCAGGAGCGCAGGCATCCGACAGGGTGCGATTAGGGGTGAGAGGCTGAGGTTGAGGAGAGGACGGTGCTGCCATCGGTTGAATTCCGAGCATGCAGTACGGGTCACTGAAACCTGAAATTACGTTCGAGATGATGATGCAATAAATAGATTTTTCATCTTAGTGTGGTGTGGGCGAGTTTAAAACTGACGGCTTTTCCGGGTATCGGATACTTTTAAATAATTCATAAACGAGATATAGTATGAGGTCGTTGATATCACATGATCGACGACAAGCGAGGTATTTGTTACGGCGGTGGACAGCAATTGACATGGGACGTGCACAGTTTTTGGGGTCATTTTAATGAATGTCTGATTTCAAATGGTCTTGGGGTTTTATGAGTCGTAGAATATAAAAATGCAAATTTTATTTTCGTCGGGTTATTGCCTGTCTGGGGTCAGTTATTTATTATGCTAGTTATAGCTTTTACTTGTTGAGTGAAATACTACTACATGTTATAAAAGAACTCGACAAAAGTCAAAAATCGTGTTAAAAATGTAAGATTAAAACAGAACAAAATTGCCCACGGATAACTGCATATTTATGAATGTGTTTATTGGATGCTATTTATTTATTTAAATTTTCAATATATCTTATTGTTGTTACTCAGTGATGCCTAGTTTTGTTGTTTATGCAGTTGATATTGCAGCTACCATTCAATGTAAAAGTAAACATGGATATTTTCTTTGTGATTATTTTTCCCAACCAAACATTTTACGTCACTTGCTTATACTCGTATGATCACAATAAGTTGGTTATTTTTCGCGTTTTTTTTATAACAACCGGCACTTGGTAGTCATTTCCCATTTCCTCTTTTTTAGTAGGAGATTGAGACTTTGTAAGCCGTAATCTAAAGATAGCAAATGACGACTTTTCTTTAATTGAATTCGTTCGTCGATCAAAAAGCATTTAAAATTTGTTTCCGACGACAATTCCGTATCGACCTGTTTAACAAAAAGTCTCTGTTTATTTAAAACAAGTCTACACCAGGTCGCTATTTACGAAGCTTTTTTTGTCAGTAGGTGGTGTTGTAAATTTTACGATAAACTCTCTAGGTTAAACCTCTGCTTTGCATTAAAGCACAGTTTTGTTCCGATTTTTATTTCTAGAACCTAGACTAGTGAAGAATTTAGACAAATAATCTCCGAAACTATTGGACCGATGTTAAAATTTGTTTCTCTCCAAAATTTGATGACGACATCTTAAAGTTTTGGTAACTAAATTTTGCCTGAAATTTATGTTGTGTTCTCAATCTACTCATGAATTCTGGCAAAAAGAATATTTTTTTTAACTAAATTATGTCAAAAACGGCTTATCCAATTTTCCAATGACCCCCCAGAATACGAAAAAGTAGGTCCCGCGTTTCGGCCTGTCTGTTGTCTGTCGACTGTGATTTTCATTAGACACATAATTTCCGAAACTACTAGGCCGACTATTGTCACATCTTATATGTATGTTAGTAATATTGTGTAGATGGTAAAACGCTAAATAAAATTTGTCTTGTGATCCACACCAACAATTTCATGACGTCCCCTCAAACTTTTTTTAGTAAACACGATTTAAATAGTATAAAATAACATACTCTTGTACTTGTGGTTTATGAATGCGCCTTCAGTTTTACCCTGCATCATTGTATTTTATACCAGTATAGGAGCACTGACGTGTGGTGAACCCCGTGGTCGTGCCGTAAAAATGTTGAATTACTAACGCGAAAGTTGTAGGTTCGATAGACCCATGGGTCACAACTTTTTTATAGTGTATAATATTACATTACATATCTATATTTTTTATTATCTGCACTGTACGTGTCGGAATTGACATTGGTGTCCTTGTTGAAATGTTGATTGGAATAGTCAGGTACAGCCGTCGTTTGACGGTTCACTCGATTTCCCCGCACTCCGCGCCAAATAAAATATAAACAAATTAACACAGTGCGTTCTTGTCACATAATACGTTTGAATAAAAGGTAGTGGCGGGTTGTGGGTGATTAAAGTATGATACAGTGACGAACTGGAGGAAAACATGCTCTATAATAATCTCTATCGTATTTTTACTTCCCAAGTTTAAGTTACTTTTTTTTAATGTCGACATAATCTTTGACCATTTTTTTTAATATAGGCAGTAAATAAGTAAATGTTAAAAAATTACCATTTTATTATTTTGCAATATAGGAACTTAATTAATTAAAAATTTAAAAACGCGAAAAAACGAAATTTGAAGTTCAAGCAGCTTCCGAAACACTAAAAAAATGATGGCACTATTTCTACGACAAGGTTGAACGACACTTTTAATATTTTTTAAATTTAGAAAAAAATTATAAAAACTATGAGTGCATTTATAAACCACAAATATAGAGTCATAATATTTTGCATATTTCAGATAAGATTTATTCGGAAAACTTTGAGATGATGTCATCAGTTTGTTGAGTGGGGATAAACGCATAAATTTTAATTAACGATTTACCACGATTATGATAACGTTTGCAAGATTTCAAAGCCTTCGGTTTTGTAGTTTCCAAGTTAAATAATTCCAAAATGTACAGTTCTGATTTTTTTTTTCAAAAATCTGGACGTCTAGGGTAAAAATTCAATACTAACTCATAAATCACAAGTACAGGAGTATGCTATTTTATGCGATTTAAATAAAATTTATCATTGCAAATTTTGAAGATGACGTCATCTGTGATGGTGGTGGGGATAATTGGCCAAATTTTGGTTAGCTTTTAATATTTCTAATATACATATAACATTTTACAACAATCGGTACAGATTATCTGTCTAATAAATATCGACATAGACGACCGACAGACAGACAGACCAACAACAGACAGACGGAAACGGGAGACCACTTTTCGTACTCTAGGGTTACCACATGTTGAGAAAACATGAAAGTAGTATTAATTTTTTCCGAAGCAGAGGAGTATAGTAGCACAAATCGGCAGGACTTTTCTTTCAATTTTGTACTTCACATCGGCCGAAAAACTTCTTCTTTATGGCCTTGATACACAAGTGACTATTTTCATCCTATTCGTCGACTAAAACACGGAATTTGAACATATTTCGTAGTGTCAAGATCATGTAACTTCTATAACTAACATTTAAAAGAAAAATAGTTCGGTGTTTCCACAGTGGGGGCGGATTTTCCCATTAACAATCAATTTTACTTGAAACCATTTCGGTAATTTCATTTACACAGACATTAGTGAATATTAAGGGATCACGACATTAGCACCAAGCAATATCACGAATTTAATCATTCAAAAGCAATCAGAATCTATAAATATTTTGTAAATTAGTCTGCAACTAAGCTCTTTCACAGTGTTACAGTTGTTACTAGTAATTCATATAGGAGTATTTTTTATATTTTCGACAATGAGAACCTTCTCGAATTAAAGGAAACTACCTTTAAGATATTGGACATTATAAAATTTTTGCAGAAATAGACAGATACCAATGTAAACGTACCAGTAAAATTAGCCGTGGAAATTTAAATTCGCATGTGATATGACATTACGATGTTCAAATTTGCGGAAAAAATAACTTTTGCTTGGCGTTTTACCATTCTCACGATAATCTTAATGTGAAATGTAATCCGTTCGGTAGTTTAAGAGATAAAATGTGATATAACACGTTTCCAATATACAGATAATCGACTATACACAGACTGATCACATCGACGGAAAAGAAAAAAAAAAAAGTAATTCACGTTCTGTGAGCTGTGAAACGCCAAGAAAACTTGAAATTAGAGATTCGTCAAAGTGATGTTCCAAAAGACATTTGGCGGTTGTATTTTGTTTTTCGGCCTCTGCAAGTAAATTAACTTTATAATAAAAGCAGACGGTGGCACTGAACTGTTGCGCCAACAAAAACAACCACGGAATACTAATGTGTTAAAATTTACTTACGTCGAGCTTTAGATCCTATTAATTAAGATTCTTTCGGCAAGTATAGACAATTTAGTTATATTTTGATTGTAAGTGAATATTATTTGAAAGCAGATTCTTGTCGAAGCGACAGCTACAACAAGTAAAAGCTTAACGTAGCAAGTGACCGAACTAGGAGCTTAATAAACTTCTTTGACGGCTAAATAATTAAGGAAGACTGAAACTTTGTTTCAAAACAGGTTTTTGTAGAGACGTTATTGACGTTAATATTATAACTAATTACACTCCAACAATAATAACAAAGCATAATCTGATGTTGGAGTTAATTTTTGGTGAATAGGTCATGCCACATTCCATCCAAGATTTATAATGAATCGGCCCACGAGGACCGAAAAATGGGAAAACGATAATAGATGTTTCTTCGAAAGAAAAAGTTTCGCTAATGTCGTTTGAAGGTGATATAAATAACAAAATTTTATCTAGCAAGAAAATAAAACCGGTTACTTGATATAAATTTTAGAAATAAAAAAGTCGTTTAGGAGTGGTCAATAAGAAGCCCGTTGGGAATATTACGAATTCCTCTTTCCTGGAGTCCGTATCTACGTGAGACTTCCGGTTCTGTTTACTATTTAACAGCTGATATTGTTATTGTCGTCTTGTATTTCAAAAGATAATGACCGTGAAAAGCAAATAAATACGGATATTAAGGCACAAATTTGTCACAGGCGTCCAATTTCAAGAAGTTATGAAAGTTTTTCAGCGAGTTTCGTGCTTTTTAGAAACTTAAGAGATAATTTATGTTTTGTCGTTTGCAAGTTATATGAGTCTGCTTCATATCGATTTGGTTAGCTTTAAGTGGTGACAGCATTCGTAATTCGTGATATTAAAGAAAGAAATACTGCAGTTTTCAAACTCTTGTAGCGTCTTACAAATACAGGGTGATTTCGAAATGCGTGCAAAAAAAAGGGGAATAGTTCACAATAAGATTAGGTAGCAATGTCTAGAAAAAATTAGTTGAAGTTAAATATAAATTGTTATACGTGCCAATGGTAGTGGTTCTTGACGTACCATAACTACTATTCAGTGAATGGCACAGAACAACTAGGATTAACCAAAAAACGGCGCACTGATAAGCAAAATGTAAAACCACGGTAAGAACGAGTTATGTATTGGTTGGTTGGCGTCGTTTGTTTAGTTAACGTCTTTGCAGCAGCTACAGTTCGTGAACTCTCGCAGTTTTTTTACGTATCCGTGCAAACATGTTACGACGAGTTGAAGCCCGTATTGCTAGTCAAGAACAACATTTTCAACATTTATTGTAAAAAGGTAGTAGCATTCTAAGTTGCTCTTATTTCTGTTCCAATAAACAATGTGGTTTCGTTGTGGCAAGGACCAAACATCCGGCAAAATAAAAACTCGATCATCATTATCAAAAACCGGTCCTTCTCGGTATCACTATTTGTTTTTATAATTAATAATCTTTCGCACTGACCATTAACCATGCATGAATGAACAATACGGTACAAGATGCTGTGGCTACAAGTAATGCATATATTTTTAGAAATCGTCCTATACAATTTGGAGGAAATGGAAAAGATGCTCGTGTTTCTATTAACAAGGTTAATATTATCCAAAATTGATTAACTGCTAAAAATAATAAAAAATCCAGACCTGTTTAACCCTTACTTAACCGACAAACTGCGAGAACTGAGCACTCTGTCATAGCTTAATTCGAAACAAACAAAATGTAGAAGCTGTTGTGTAAATATTGCATCACGGCCCTTGGAATGTTCTTGGGTCATGAGCTGTCACTAAAGATATTTAGCACGACAGGATTAGCCTAATCTCGATGTAAATCAGCAAATATACTTCAGTAGAATGAGGGAGTGACAAAGATCATAACTAAACAAACTGGCAAATGCGCTAAGACAAATCACTACACGCTACGTAATTTTCAAACTAATCCAGGAAAAAATCTGAATATCCCATGACACGACGAATAAGAAGCCAGCAACGTTATAATACCACTTAAGCCCCGAGAATTTAGCCCATGTCACATACATCATCTACTAAGACATGTATTACGGTGAAACTTGATGCGATAAGCAATAAATCAGTTCAGTTATCTCACCATTGGCATCTTTGGCTTCCAGTCCTTCGGCTTCTATGACTACAACGCTAAGGACGACGATCGGCGGTTTCTCTTCTCCTGCTAGGTGCAGCATGCGGTAATGGCGATCTGGTGGCATCGCGAATGCCCTTTGACCGTACAGGTAGAGATCTTCTTTATAGTGTGCATATTGGCCTCCTGGGGCTGGTGCTCCGACCTGAAATAAAAATAAAAGACCGACTTGGGTTATAAAGGAGCTGCGCTACTACACATTACAAGCGAAGGTTGCTCAATGCGTTACTTCCTTCAGGTAAATATTAGATTTACACCATAAAAGACGGCAGCTGAATGATTAGAACTCTCAGCTGATATAAACAACGATCAATATTTTAACGACGAATGATTACGTTTAGATGTGAACTGTAGAGCTTGCAGAGTTCTGAAACATTGTTCTTGTTTTTGGTGAATATGCAGCTGTTAGATTTTGTGTTAAAAGTTTATGCATTATTTCGAGATACTGATTTATGGCCACAGATCGTGGGGTAAGATTTAGGCCATATTGAACAAACAAAAGTATTTACACCGATGGTTTCGGTTTGATGCATTGTATTGTGTCGTAGATTCGTACAGGAACAAGAAAATCTGAAGTGCTATAATGGCAAATCTAAGTAAATAAAAAATAAATAATTGATGTTTTTATCCCAATACGTAAAAAATAGGTAAAAACTTTTCACCATGGTTCAACAAAGAGTTAATTCAATTACTACATGTCAAATGAATGTAAATTGTAAAAGTTTTCACAATGATTAGTTTAGCAAGTTAAGAAAACTATGTAAATTCTCGATATCAACATACAGAGTGTTGATAAAGTATAAACATAAACAAGTTGCACATGTTGCTGAGAGGCCATTTTTCCCGTTGGTTATCTGCTGTAAATATATTTTATATTGCCCGTACTTGTGCGACATCCGGCCAGAGGCGGATTTATAAAGATGCTTGTGATGCTGGAGCATCAGGCCTTTGAAGTTAAGGGGCCCCTTGTGGCCTAAATGTAGAGAAAAATAAAATTTATTTGTTTTTAACTTGGTTATTACAAAAACAGAATTTCGAGTTCGCCTGACCCTTTGATGATTTCGAGATTGTGCAAAATGCAAAACTGGGCACTTTCGACCGTTCCAGTAATTTATGACTTGCAGCCAGTCAGCGACCTACATAAAGAGTTGCCGCCACCGGACGGCTGTGTTTTGTTTTCAGTATCGTTTCTCATTTTTTTGTTTTACTTTAAATTTAAGTTTTAACATAAATACCAGTTGGTAAAATCTCGAAAAGTTACGAGTTTTTTATAGCTCAATCTTCTATTTTCTTCTTTTCTTCTACATATATTCACGTATTGAAAATATGTAAAATAAATTTTGTATCCAACTCCTATTCATAGCAGGAAAAAAGGAGTCCTAAATAATAGCATAGCACTAGATCCGTCCCTGAGCATCGCTTTGGAATTTGTGCCCCTACGGCGCAAATCTAATTTTATAATTATTCAAAGAAGCGGGATTTCTAGATACCGTATGCCTATTTTTTTTTTTATTTTAACCCCAAACTTTTTTTCGGATTCTGATAGATATTTTTATATATCACTCAAATGGTCGTAGAAAAAAATTGATAGCTTACGTCGGCATCCTCAACCATTAAATCTTGATTATGGTGAACGCATGAGAAGCTTCAGCGGAAATTCATCAAATTTTTTTGCTTTAAGAACAACATCTATTTTGTTCAGGATGCGTATAAATTTTTTTGTGTGTACTTCGGTTTACGCTTACTTTGTTATAGACGCATGTACTTTGATATTTGTTTTTGTTTCAAAGTTATAAAAACCGTGCGCCTATCTGAACATTATTTAATTTTGTTGTACCTGTCATTTTATCTAGAAATCCGCCTCTCTTGAAATAAGATTTTCCCCGAACAAACTATGAGAAAAGTTTGCCCATTACGCGAGTTGGTTTAACAACGAAATAATGTTATATCTTTGCTTTTAAAATTTTAAAAAACATTTCACTATCGTGACCTCTTTAAAGACTATCGTCGCATCACTCATAATCTCATTAACGGAGTTATAAGAATTACTTAACAAACACTGAACTCTTTCTACCTAAAGAACCTAAAAAGTTCCGGGCATTGATCCAAAATAAAACGGGTAATTCAGTAATTCCTGGTGTGAAGAAATACAATAATAGCGAGTTAAATAATAATTCGACCTTTATTGTTAATGCCTTTGTTGAATATTTTGAATCTGTTTATGCCAATTCCGATCCCCATATTTCAGAAATACTATACCCTGTGTATTTCTTGCAATTATATTTCAGAGGACGACATCTTGAAAGCCTTGAACCAATGTAAAAATCCTCTAACTATGGGACTTGACTTTTTAGTTTTCTTTGATCAAATCCATCATTTTGTGTTGCTGAATAAATTACGTCGTGATGGTTTTTCCGATTCCTTATTAACTCTTTTTAAATCATACTTATTAAACAGAGGACAGTATGTCAAATATTGAAATTTTGTCTCGAAGGATATTAGACCAACATCTGGGGTGCCTCAAAGATCTAATTTGGGTCCTTTGCCTTTTCTCCTCTTTTTTAATGACATCGTAGATATACAATAAGAGAAGTTCTTTATTATTATCTAGATTTGATTTCTTCTCTCTTCAAACTAGACTAGATTCATTCTATTGTCAAGCAAAAAAGACTAACTTGGTGGTGAAGGTTCCTGTTAATCAAAATGTGTGAATTGTTTAATAAAATTGCTACACTGTGCGATTTAAATGGGGATAATTTTAATTATATTATACATGGTATACTAGCAGTTTTTGGTAGGTGACCTTTCGATTTTTGGTAGTTACTTATTTTAATGTCATGTTTCTTTTGTATCAATTAATTTCCTCTAATTGGGTGTACAGCGTGTTGGAAATAAAGTCATTCTTATTATCATTATTGTAATAAGGTCCATCGGGCGACTAGTTAATGTCGACCCTAGAGTAGGAAAAAAGTGATCTCCCGTTTCCGTCGATCTGTCTGTCGTGAATGTCGATTTTTATAAGACAGACAATCTCCGAAACTACCGGATCGATTGTTGTCATTATATATGCATTTTAGGTGTAGTGTGTAGGGTATAGACGGTAAAATGTCAACCAGAATTGGCGAATCATCCCCGCCAACAACGGAATGACGTCATCTCCAAAATTTTGAATTCTAGTTGTTATTAAATTTTATAAAATAATATACTACTGCACTTGTGGTTTATGAATCGGGTTCAGTTTTTACGCTAGACATAGAGATTTTTGTAAAAAAATCAAATGGTCTGACATTTTTGCTATATAATTTTGAAATTTCAAAATCTAATCCTCTATAAGCTTGTAAACGTTTTAAGGTTATCGTGAGCTTGCTAAATCGTTAATCAAAATTTGTTTGTCTGTGCCCTGTTAAAAAATTGATGACGTCAGTTCAAAATTTTACCAAATAAATGCTATCTAAAGTATGCAAAACATTATGAGTCTGTACTTGTGTTTTATCACTATATTCATATTTTTCATGTATAACGGGTGATTAAAAAAATAATCAATGAGGCAGCCTATTTAATTAATCAAATCAAGAACGGCTCACGCCATTTTGCCGAAAATTTGAGAATACCGGATTGTTCTTATTAGTATCATCAATTCAACGTCATCACACAATTTTGTTAGGGAAAAACTCACTTGAAACACAGGCATAGCACGCTTTTTTACCTGTACTTTAACAATTCACACATACAGGGTTGCTAAAAAGTATGGAAGCAGTTGAATATCGCGAGAACGGTTAATCAGAACTGATTGAAATTTGGTATAGAAGTACAAGTAATTGAACTCTATCTAACCCCTGAAATATTATTCAAATTTCGATAAAAAAATTTGTCTTTTTTGAAAAAAAGTATTTTTTTGTGCATTCAGTTATGTAACACATGGCTTTCTTTATTTGCAATAAACGGCAAAAAAATGTTTTATTTTACTTCGCGCAACAAAAAAACTGGCGATTTAAGTACTCGTATATATTTAAATAAGTCATTTGAGTTAAGTAGTGAAATCTACAAAAACACCAAAAAACGACTCCACTGAAGTGGATCTGAGTTTACAGACTCAGTAAAAGCTGTATGTAAACTTTTGGTTTTCCTGAAACCATATTGACTAGAAGGTAATAAGTTATTTATTTTAAAAGTTTTACCAGCTATTAATTAACAACCAGGTCAGTTATTTTCGATATGCTTCAATATAAACTAATGGCCCTGTTATTGGCAATATTATCTAGAGTTCCGTTTTATAAGGGTCCCAGTTAAAACTCTGCGGTCTTATATCTTAAGAACAGATAGATGTTTTAATATTCCGTAAACGCCATTGTTTTTAACTTGATGGGGCAGCTTAATTTAGTACATTACATATATGACGCATATATTTTTTAAAAGATTTTGATAGGCCGTTACTATCACCATTTTACGACAATTCGAACATATCCTAAGATAACTGCTTTTGAAACAGATCTTGTTGACTATAAAATAAAGTGTGAGTGCCTTATTTCAGTCAACTTTTATTTTTTTATGTTACTTATAAGTTTTACTTTTTTATCAATTGAAAATTACATAAATATCTAAGTAGTGTATATCCCTGTAATCGAATTTAATAAGGCCACGGAGTTTTAACTGGGACACCCTGTATAAAGGAACTGAATTTCAATTTTAAGCCTGTACGAGAACTGACTCAAGTCTATAGATAAATTAATATTCCCTCACCGGATGCATTTAAATTTTTGAATATTCACTTCTAAAATAAGGACATATTGTAATAGCGCCTATCCGACAATCGGTTACTTTCATGTTTTTGTGACGTTGCATGACCCTCCCATTTCTGTCTGTCTATCTGCCTGTCTGTCATCTGTTCTTTGTCTGTATCGATTTTTAGTAAACAGGTAATCTCCGACACTACCGAACCGATTGTTGTCAAATTTTATAAGTATGTTGGGAATGTTGTGTAGATTTTCATATAAACTTCAAAAACATCCAGTAGAACACACAAGTCAGGAGTACATGGCCAAAGAGTTATTAACTAGTTATATACTAAAGTTGGTAAAATTACAATAATATTAGTTCATGAAAACAGAAACCACGAAAATTTTTTCAGCAACAATGTAATTTCTA